AAAAACTAATGGAAACAAAGTTAATTTTGATTTAATTAGACTTGGCAAAAATAACTTACTTTCTCAAACAGAAATATAGAGTACAGGCACATATAAGGTCTTCAGTGACAGAATAATTCCTTGAAACCCTAAAATATAGAAAATACTAACACATACGTGAAGTTTAAGGAATTACATGAAAGTAATCCTGCCAAAACCCTCTCAATCAGAAAAAACTCCTTCACACATTATTTCAGTATTTCATATAGCATGAAGTGACTACAAAAAAGATTTGACAGTCAACAGTTCATCTTTTCCAAGAATAACATAATAAAGCACAATAGAAGTGTAAATACTTTCTGCACGCACCCTACTTCTCATCAGTAAACTTTGTATTAACACTCACCTATTCAATACACCAAAGTGCAATTCGAAAAATGGGAGCCTTGAAAGAATGCAATAACATCTCTGAGTGGTTAGTATATGACGTCTCAAAGACGATGATGGGTTCTTATCAGAAATCAGTGAAAGCAATCCCGAGGGCTTTTGTACTAATTCTTCAACCAAAACACAGCATCCATAAAGTGTTGAATTATCAGCGCCCTATTGAGGGGGAAAAAGACAATATCAGTACCAATACGAGATTAAAATGTCTGAATTCATGATATCAACATCTTAGTTTCCTTTATTAAGGAGTTCCTTTACCTCAGGCTTTACAATTCAATGACCAACGATTGACAACTGAAAAGACTTGACCGGACAAATCTACTAAAAATTCCAGTTATTTAAAAAACGTATTTTCCAGAACACAACAGACTATTTACTTCCATTATGTGCCACGACAATTCATTACCCATACACAAGCAGCAGAACATCAAATGTTCCAGTGATTTACATCATCACTTAAATTGGATAGCTGGAAGCTAGGAGCAATGTAATGAACCAGCTTTCATTGTTGACAATATTTGATCTGTCGATCTTAATGTAGCCAAATTTTGCTGTCCTTCAAACATAGGCAGGGATTGGAACAATCAATTCTTAGGTACTCACTAGACACATTGCTTCGTTGACGATTGACAGTGTCTCCATCAGGCAAAAGTAAGTTCAGAATGACATGCAAAGAGAATTGAGCCCTCGTAAAACTCACTCCTTCAATTGTGGCCAAAATTTAACTGTATAAACTGACAAAGCTTTTTTATCTTCTATCGAGGTTTTGAAGTTTTAGCCCTAGAACAGACAATCAAGTAAATGAGATATTTTCAAACACCATCAATCTAACAATTCGACTAAGTTTTCAGAGCTTCAACAGAATTATGCAAAACTGCTTTTTACATCACATAGGTAGACCACAATCATAATGTAGATACTGGCCAAGGTACATAATCAGATGGACACCCAAAGCAAACATGAAAGAACCCAAACTAACACTAGTCGAACTAAAAGATGCTTCATTTAGGATAGTTGCCCATGGTCAAATACTCATTTTAAAGAGAAAAAATGTTGGGCAAACAAGGTGCATGGTCTAATTTGTGAAATGGAGCAACAGAAACTGTTAAAAAACTTATCATGCTCATATTCCAGTCCCATTTTGAAGTATTTGTCAATTTAGCTGCTTGGTTTTATTGGTCCAGAGCACAAACTAAATATACGCCATGCCTAAGCAAGAAACTCCACAAAGAAATGCAAGAGGATGGAAATTGGAAAAAAGCAAGTAAAGGATGAAATTGCTTGAACTTACCTGTAGCCTGAATACAAAAGACAGATCACTTTGTTTAAGGTGCTCCTGTAGAAAACCAAATCACGCCTCAGGGAATCAGGGTTTAACTGATTACATATATCTTCAGCAAGGTGAAATAGAATGGTTGTACAGCAGTTAGAAGTCAATGACGATTTAATTATTAGGCTTTGACATGGTCAATATGGGAAAAGGAGTACAAAACAACCCCAATTTGCTTGATATTTGCTAATGCCAACATCAAAAAGGCTGAGAAAGACAAACGGTCAATAGATAGAAAGTATTAAAAGGTTAGGGAATCTGATCCTGAAACAAGCCGTCAGCTTGATAATCCACTAAAAGTAATATTATCTTTTGGAATCAAGGATCAGAATGACCAAGCCATGATCAACTGTGACATAAATTTCAAATAACCAGAACATGGCTACTTATGTGAAAATATGTACCAAAAAGCAGAATTCTGGAAGATCCAAAATCCTTTGAAAATTTCAAAATACAAACTCTCTCCTACCCAGGAGTTCAACAGTGAAATTGTTGATGCAGGGAAATCAGATAAGCAAGAATGGCTATCACAATTCAGAAGGTTGATTAATTATCAATTAGTTAAGAGGCAAAAGGAATAAATAATCATGCATCAATCCAATATAAACTAAGCGAAAAATCCCATTAAGTAGTAAGTAAAATTAGTAGGAGCACAATGTAGCTTAACTACCTGCCCAAGAAGAATTTCGTTCAGCTCACTCATGGAAGGGGTTCTCTCAACAGCACGAACCTACAATTACATCAAAGAGAAATAAAAACCTCCAGCAAAAGCTTTCTATAGAATACTCGCACGCAGAATTAAATAAATACGAGAACAGACAACTTTGAGACTTCTTGCCATAATCGAATATGAGTAAAACCTTGTAATTACCACTCTAGGCAATCAAGATGTGGTTTGTATAGTTTATAATTAGTGGGTGCATGCTCTTAGTAAATAAGCAGATTGAAATTAATTTAATAGAAGATGTTCAACAATATCAACCTCCCTAGAAACGATTCTGGCCTGAAAAAAAAAATTGATCTTTTCGATAGTTTTACTTTTTAACAAACACAAACGCTCAGATATAAGTATGAACAAATGCATGTAGGTACTTCTAACCTCCAGGCCTCCAGGAAAGCAAAAAGAGACGAGATCCTTGTATTTAAGAGGCAGATGTTTTTCTGGAGGGTAAACAAATAAGACCTGGAAAAAATCCAAACATGCATCATTCATGATATGACAATTTAAACGAAATAACTAAAAAAAGTGATTAAAAATAGTAGCGATCATTACAATAGAACTGTAATAACAATGGTAATAGTACTAGTAGCACTGTACCAACAGTCCAGAATTGGTGGCAGCAAAAATAATTGCAATAAAGTAACATCTGTTACATGTGTAAAAACCTGAGGCTCAAAGCTGGGTTCTACACGGGATTGATTCTGATGGCCAAGTGCACTTCTAAATTTACCCGAACCTTCAGACTTTCTTTGAACATATTGCCTCTGCAGTGCCTGAATATCACAATTAGGATGAAGTCCCACAACTACCATGCTTTCAAACAGCCGCGTTGGCTCCTTCCAAGACCTATGGTCCTGTGCACTCAAACAAGAGAATCTATGAGAACAATGTATTGACAACTCAGTTCCATGAGTTTCGGTAATAAAACATGAAGAAAATGTATAGAGCCTAAAAACTGAGAATGCTGTGAAGCTTGAAGTAAGACCATACACAAGATTGAACCAAAACAGGAATAGCAGGAGATTCAACTAAGCAACAGATATTAGAACCAAACAACCAAGAGATATAAGCTTAAAACCTGGAAGTAAAAAGCAGCCTAAGTATTCTTTGTAATTCGTATGAAAGAGCTTAAATACAATGGCTTGGACCAAAAAAGAAATAGCAGCAGATTCGAATATATGACATTTATTACCAAACAACCAAGAGGAAAACAAAACAAGGTTACACATAATTCCAAAAGCTGAAGAGTGAAGACCCCATAGTGAGAAGCAGCGAAAGTGTTCGGTCTGGTTTATAAGAGGATGAGTTCAGTAGAATGAACATATACTTCTTGTGTATCTTAGAAAAAGGTTGTACCAAGTACTGCAACTGAAAGTTTGCTGCCCATTGTCGCTTCTGACTTGTTAGGACTTCAGGATTGTAATTTGCAACTTTAACATCAGAAGTGCGTGAGAAGCCTTTTATTAATTTTGAAACATGATTCTGGAACCTCTGAATATGGCCATTACTATGATCATCTTTAGATGAAAATATTACAGATGGCCTTGGGGAATGAACAACAGTTGCAGCAGCAGCAACAGCTCTTGCCACATCCTCCGTTGTCTGTGTGAAAAATGAAGAAGCCCAGCTGGGACTGCCTGAATCTTCATCCTTTGCCATTCCAAACAATTGTGCCTACCTAATTATAATGAATTTGAACTCAGAAAAGCAAGATTGTCATAAAAGCAACATTTCAAGGCAGGCAACAGCCAGAATTAACGCTAACTGACATATCATGTCTATCATGAATGTCTATAACAAGCAAATACGTCAAAACTTAGGGAATGCCATGAACAAGAGTACCAACAAGACAACAGATTGTGAAAAAAATCCAGCATTCAAGACTCAGAAACTGACTATTCGCTTACAAACATTTTTTAGTGCTAAAACTTCTAATTTATGTTAATCATGTACTCTTGAAGACTGGAGATTGCATCCGTTATAACCGCCTTTAGCTATCATCTATCCAAGCTACTTCCAGAGGTATTTGCGCCATCTGAACTTTTAATATATGATAAAGAAGAAAGCGAAGCGAAAAATGAAAAAAAGCTAATACTTGATCGGAGATCCCATCACTTCTGACTCCTTTTTTCTCCTCAGACTCTCTTCAAAAAAAAAAAATTGCAAATCTGCAAGAGCTTCCCCATACAACTTGTGATAAACAAAGAGGCAGAAGCACAATTTTCTTTTTAGCTCAAAAATACAATATCCGATGCCAAACTTTCTTCGCAGGATGCATCAGTCAACCATCTCCTGTTCATTTTTTACTCTCTTCTGCTCTAGCTCCGATCTTGGGGTTGAGGGGCGTAAACAAAATAAAAGACAAGCTTGAAGACAAGATGAAACAATTGGAAGACCCATAAACAGCACAAAACTATGTGATCAAAGCATCCCAAACAACATTAAAGTATCCAAAAACAAAAGAAAAAAAGGGCGGAAATATAATAAAGAAGAAAGCACCCCACAAACACGTAAAGAAGTAGAAATTTTGAAGTGAGGTAGAGAACGGGACTTGGAAAATCATTTCTCCAAGAATGAAACATCACCACGACTGAGAGAAAGAAAAAAAAATATCCATCGACCCGATACATCAGCTGAAATTAGAAGAGCCAAAATTCAAAGGGGGAAAAAGCATACGAAACAGACAAGCTCACCTCGAGATAGACGGATAAGGAAATGAAAGCAAATATTAGACAGAGAAGGGAAGAGTTGAGGCGGCCATTATAGAGCTTTGGGCTTGAACCTTTGAGGAAGGTAAAAGGGGAGGAATTAAATCTTAATTAATTGATCAACTTCAGGTAATTTTCGGGCAAAGAAAAGGTATTTTTTTTAATAATTAAAAAGAGGGGAAGAAGGAAGCAAATGGTTGAGATTACGAGTTTAGAAGAGAAGTAAGAACCCTCGTGCGCATCGAAAGGAAACGATGCGGCCATGGAAGAAGGAACAAGACATTTTTGTGAAAGGAAAGCTGCAGGCTGCACAACACAACGAGGAACGTCAGTTTCTTTCCATGCCTTGTTTGGTTGGTGTCGTTTCTGTCCACTCTCACGCTGTTCGACTCGATTAGATTGTGTTTGGCAACAACCGCATCCTATGCATTTTCCTTTTTCCTCTTTTCTTCTTCTTTTTTTCTTTTTTTAGGTCCTCTAACATAAACTATTAATATTAATATCTGATTTTTTTTCCTCTAACTTTTATTTTTATGACTATATAATTTCCTACAATATATTTTTTTTATTATTTAAATTAAATATTTTGTACTTAAAATTTATTCATATTCATATTTTTTAAAAATAAATAAGTCATTTTATATTCTGTTAATACTACATATTTTTATGTTTTCAATTTATTTAAATTTTTCTTTAAAAAATACTAGACCACATAATCTTTCAATTTTTTAAATTAAAAAAATTATTTCACAGGTTTTAAAACCTACCATCTATCTTTTAAAAAACAAAGTTTTTAACAATTAACTATACTTATTAAAAGTGTGTACAATGTTTTTTGACCAGATGTACAGTTTTATTTTATTTAACTTAAATAATATGACTGTAATAAAATTTAAAAATATATTTATTTTCTATGTAATAAATTATTCTATCTTTTTTAATGATATCATCTGATGCAGAAGGCGAGAGCGACGCCGTTGCTTGGTGGGGAGGGATCATGGCCCCTTGGGGCGACTGGCGAGTGGCGTCGAAAAACACGCAGCCGGACGGTGTAATTGGCGTGAAAATGGAAAAAAGTTCTGATAATCGATTAATTAATTATTTAATTTATCTGATGAGAAATGAAAATGAGGTCAATGGGGTGGGAAGACCAGGCTCTGAATCCGATGCAACCATTGGAAGCACAGCAACATCTGGTCAACCCTAAAACAGGTTCCGGAATCGAATTTTCTTCCTTTTTTTGCCATTTTTACCTTCGCTCGAATATTTTTCTAAATCTTTAACCCATACTAATTTAATTAGCAATTCATGAGCATCTTTTGAATCGAATTTTCTTTCTTTTTTTTCAATTTTTACTTTTGCTCAAATATTTTTCTAGATCTTTAACCCATACTAATTTAATTAGCAATTTATGAGCATCTTTTGAAGCATGCATATGTCGCCAATAAGAATTTAGTTGCTGTGGTATGCTCAAAATTAAACTTAAAAATTTTAATTAAATTGGATCAATTCCTAATCAGTGCCAAGCATGAGTGGAATTAAAATTGTAACTAAATTTGCATCTAATTTGAGTTAGTTGATGCAAATTTATAAGTTAAAAATTTAAAAATGATAAATTAAGAGATAAATTTGTAAGTTTAATTATGTTTATATTTAATTTAAATTTATAAATGAGTTGATAAGATTTTATAAGTTAAAAATATAAAATTATTAAATTTAAATAGTTAATTTGAGAATTTGACAATTATAAGTGAGATACTTTTGCCACGTTTTATTCTACCACACAAAAATCAAAACCAGAATCACAAAACTTCTTCCCCTCGCACAAATCATTCCTTCTTTGTCCTTTCATTCGTATTTGTGTTTGGAAAATAAAATACGTGCATGCATTTTTATCATAATAGGTTATGCGATTCAATCATTAAAGTGTAGTATATCTTGATTATCAATATCATATTTTTTTAAAAAAAACAAGAATGATAATGAAATATAAGAATATTTGGGGATACGAGGAGAGGTGTGAAGCAAGAGTGCAAGACTGTCCCCTCATCATTATGATCGTGATGGTCATATGGGGCCACCCGTGCTAATTATCTGCGTCCATTGTCCAACATTATTGCACAAACACACACACAGATGGAACTGGCATAGAATTTTCTCTTCCCCTCGTGCTGTGTCAAGCACATTATAATCTCGTTTTATTTGATTCTTTTTAGTAATTTGATATTTTATACTATACATGCTTTGAGAAATGTATTGATTTATTAATAAAACTTAATGCTAAAATTACCCCTAATTGTCTCACTCTTCGAATATATTTTTAAAACATATAAATTTATATTAAAAAATTAAAATTCAGACTATATTTAATTAATTTTATTGGTTTTCACAGTTAAAAACAAAATTAAAGGGCACACTCAATCTTAGACTATACTCCCCCCTGTTCAAAATATAAACATTTTCTCTTAATTAATTTTTAGTCAAAATATAAGCAATTTAGTACATGTAAAAAAAATTATCATTTTACTCATTACATTTATCAATATAGGCCTCTGTATAAATATATCTCTCACCCAACATGAAATGCATAATTGACAACTAGGAGTAGAGATAAAAAATATATATATATATATTTTTATGAAAATGACAATTTATTATTTATATTTTGAATCAGAGGAAGTAAGTACAAAAATGATTAAGATACTAAATTTTTTTTTTATACAATGTTTCTCTACAACATTTTCGAAAGTGTGCAATATGACCTCTAAAAAAATTGAATAAAAGGACAAAAATATTACACAAGACACCCTACCATTTTGAAATGTTGTGAAAGGAAACGTTGTGCCCAAAAGTCATGGATATGGGAAATGTTAAGGATAAATTTATCATTTAAAAAAAAATAACAGACATGGGAGAGTACTTCATTTAGCCTATTTTATTGAGCACTGTTTTTTTTTTTTTTTTGCCAGAGAGAGTGCCACTTGCTTCTGCGTCTTAATCATACGAGTACAGTATGATGCCGTTGTTATTGTTATCATTAGCAACAACCTCATTTTTGTTTATAAACAGTGACCAAGCAGCTGAGCATTGTTCCATAAGATATTCATAGATTCGATTTGGTTGTTGCACTGTGAGTGAACTAATTCTAATAAATAAATCAACATATAGACACAGTGGGCGATATATGCCATTCTGATTGCTATCATTCGCGCAACAACCTTAATTTTTTATTTATAAAAGTTAAGCCTAATTAATTAAAAGCCTTTATTACGTGTAATGAGCCAAACAGATCTGTATTAATATTGTTCCACAAAATGTTCTCACAAAAGCCCTCGCTTAGCCTCATCCTCTTTGTACATGAATGTGGTTGCTACTCCCTTGTTTGGCCTCATCCTCGTCACATCATAGCAGAGTGCTACTATAAATTAATTAATAAAATTATTATCATCATTTCTCATTTTTTGTACAATATTAATTAATAATTAATTAAAGTCAGGCTTTATCAGTTGTACCTCTCTAAGTATTTTTATTAAAATCTAGCTAGTGACTCGAGATTATAGATTCCATTGGTTGAAGTTTTAAAATGTGGCTCAATTATTTTTAATAATTAAATGACATCAACCACCGAAAACGGAAACACTAGAATAAACCTCTCAATTTCTCTTCTTCTTCTTTTTTTAACATTCTTGGCTGGTTTTCAAAATGACTGGCTGTGTAGAGATTAATGTAGACAAAATGAAATATTGATTTGTCAATTTTTTTATTAAATAAATCAGTGTTAAGGTTTTGATAACACTCATATAATTACAGGAAAGCATTATCATGTAAGATTACGCATAGATGATTTCACTTGTTTTGTTCGCATAAATCATATGATAATTAAAAATGTTGATTACTAATAATTTAACAAAACAAAAGGACAGAATGGTGGGATAGAGAAATTAAGCAATTCCAGCTAGGCGTGGCCAGGTGGGGGAGTTTTTGGGAGATTAATTTAAAGCAATATAATGACGATATTGTCTAAAAAAAATGATGGACTATTTTAGAAAAGATGAGTTACTATATTCAAAGCTGGTGAATAAGTTAAAGCCTTCAACTACAAACATCCTCATAATGTGACATAATTAATTATCTGGGGACGGGGGGTGACTTTGCATGCCGTAGGAAGATGCCTGTTTAAAACATTCAAAGTCAATTCTGGATGCATGATTAATATTCAACTAGTTGGTTACATATCCAATAAATGAAAAAAATATATATTATTAGCATTAGTTGATATTATTGTTGGGTATTGCTTTTCAAATGCAAATTTTTATAACATGCTTTTTTCGGTCCATGCGGATCCATCACATTATTCAAGAAACATCAGGTTATCTTCACCCAATCCAATCACATTTATAAAATACATTTAATTTAATGGACAAATACATGGCTCATATTTAATAAGAGTTTGAACCTTAAAGTCAAATATTGCCGGATGTGATGATCTCATCAGCAAGCAGAGTAACAGAAATTAGGCATTTGTAAAAACATCAAGTTCTCTTTAACCATGGGCATGTCTTGATCTTAATTAAGGAGTCTATATTTAGAGTTTACTCCCTTTGATCTTATTTACAAAGTAAAAAATTTTTTTTTCATATTTATAAGTTATTTATTAAATTTTTATCACAATTTTTTTCACTTACCCTTTACTAAATGTTATAAAAAAAATATATTATTAAAGTGTATATATATATTTAACAAGAATAATTTTAAAAAATTATTAAATTTATATATTGGTTAATAAATTTTAAGATTTTCTTTTATCCTGATAAAATATAGTGATAGTGACTAATAAATACAATCAGAAGACTATTTTGTTTTTGTTTTTAAAAAATAAAAAATACAAGTGTCTTATATAAAAATGTTTTCAAAATTATTCTATTTTTATTCCAAAAAAAAAAGAAAATGAACAGAGCTTTTTAACATTTTTTTATTTTTAAAGTACACTATATTTTTTAAGAGAAAATGATAATAAAATCCTTTTAAATTATATAAATAATAATTTAATTCCTTAAAATATTATAATTTCATTAAAGTCTTTAAGAATTTCTTTATCAATAAATTTTAAATTGAAAAGACTATTTTATCTTTAGTGACAAGTTATAATTTTTTGTTTAATTCTTACCATTCTTGAAATAAAAGGTGTGATTATTTGTATAAAAGTTATGAATTGGATTTGTTATTTTGAGAACTTATTTTTTAATAATAAAATTATACTTAACAAATTATGATTTTTTTGTACAACTCTTATGATCTGTAAAACAAAAACTATTACTCCTTCCATTAAAAAATATAAGATATTTTTAATCGAATCTTATCTCCAAATAAAATGATTATTTATTTTCAAACTAACCGTATTTT